AACATGCCATAGGGTGTGTGTCTGCAGCTTGTGCATTAACAGGTGGTCAGTGTATTGTGAAGCTGATGGTATCGTACGTGCTGTGGAAGAAGCTTTCCCTGTGAGGGTGGTGAGGTGCTGGCACAGCGTGCCCAGAGATGGTTATTGATGAAGAGTTTCACTGGTTACTGAAAGGACAGTAAATAGAATCTCGCTTGTTTAAACTAAAAGTGGAAATGAACCTCTAAACCTGAGATGATGGAATTACACTGCCTGTTACCTCCTCTCCCTCCAGCCTTCCTTCTGGCCCTGCTTCTCCTCACCAGCCCTCTACCCCCACCAACAAAAGGTGGAAGAATTGGAGGGGTAACACTGGTAAAGCAACACTGGGTGGCTGAGGGGAAATGGTTGAGTTATTGTTGTTGCCTGGTTGCACAGGTTGGCTTGTTTTAACATACTCATCATGTATTCAGGGCTTCCCCTCAGTGTCTGCAGAGGCCACGCAGGAATCCTTCCTCCTGGCACACTGCTTTGGCTGGTGGATACCTATTGTTCTCCAGAGTTGGATGAGCCACAGCCCAGAGGAGGTATTTTCAGGGTGAACTGCCTCTTCAAGTGGTGTTAAACTGGTTTGGATCCCTGGTCTGTCTTGCTTGAGGTTACATCAACAGATTTGGACTGAGGAAAGGATTTTTCTTGTCTCAGGTTACTGCACAGTTTAGACGGGTTTTGCATGGCCTGTTTCCTGGAGCCATTGGCATTGTCGCTGCTGAACTGTCATTCTTTTAGGACTGAGACACACATTTCACTACACAAGCAAGTAGCTTCAGAAGTCAAGGCTTGCTTGCACAAGAGAAATGAAAGAAATAATTAGCTGGGTTTTATCTACTCTGACCTGGGACTTTGAGAGAACTGAAGATACCATGTTAATAACTGTCCTTATTTCCTGTTCTTTGCTTGGCAGCATTAATGACCTGTGCAACTTCTCAAAGGTTCTGGATTTTCTATACGTAGGACCGTTTTCTTACGTGTTAATGCCAGGCTGCTCCAGTTAAAAGGCCCAAGAATGGGTGCTCAACAGGAGTGTCGATATGAAGTCTCAGATTCCTTTGTTCTCAGTCTTGAAGGCCAGAGATGCAAACAGGATATAACTAAACTTTGTTTATTTTCCTGTAAGTCTCTCTTGAATATATTTAGGAGGAAAAGAGTAATTTTATAAATACATTCCACTCTCCTTTTGAACAAACCAGGATTTGTAGTAATTTTGTTGGCACTGCATGAAAGTGCTGTGAGTGAAACACTTGAGCCCTGTCCTTATCTGCAAGTCTATCAAACCATTTAGTTTTATCCCAAAGCTATAGATGCATTTTCCTACAGGATCATATAAGTGATTGCTTTATTCATCAGTTTCAGGTAGAAGAGCAAGCCAGAAGAGTGTGTGCTGTATTTGCTAGGAGGAGCCTTGTCTGAATACAGTTAGTTTTATGTATGTATATATGAATAAACATGTATATAAAATGGAAATGCTATACTCAGTGTAGATTGAGATGTGTACACTACGAGTAAGGTAGTAGTGACTGTTGCATTACAGCCTATTATTTAAAATGCAAGTACTAAGAGTGGTGTATGTTGAGGGTTTAAAGTCTTTCATGGACAGCTGTGGCAAACGGTGTGACTCTCGAGCCAGACCTGCACAGGATTTCTTTAGCTAACAGAAGGACACTTTGGGGTGAGGATGTTGACTGAGTTGGTGCTTCTCATGGGATAAGCATCCATTGTACATGGGTTTTACGGAACTGAACTCATGATGTATCATGGTTGACAGTTGTATTCTGCCGTGGATCACTAGTAGACACCTAAACATGGATTGCCAGCTCTTTCCAAATCACAAAGCAAAGTATTTTGGGAAGAGGAAATGGCTTTAACCTGCCAGAGAGAAGACTGAGATGAGATGGCAGGGGGTTGGGACTGGATGAGCTTTAGGGTCCCTTCCAGCCCAAAGAAGTATGGGATTCTTTGATTTTGGTGGTTGTCACTACCTAATTTTCATTACCTAACAAAGGATACTTTACAGAATAGGAGCCTGCCTGGATTCTTGGGCTAATAAATCATCCGAAAAGATCCTGGTTTAAATAATTTCACAGGGCTCTGAGTTCCACTGACCTAGAATTAAAACCAGGACAGTGTGGTCACAGTCGTCTCAGCTTGGGGAAGATGAGTTGTAGACACTTGACAGGTTATCTACATATGAATTCTGAGTGGTATTTGTGCTGTCTCACAGCACACAGTACACAGAGTAGTACTTGAGTTGTCTCTCAGCTGCTGAGTGGGAGCTGTCTTGACAGAAAAACTATGTAAAATGAAAAGGAAGAAAATGAACAAAACCTTTCCAGTGAGAATTTAAAAGGAGAAAACAAGCAGCATGTAAACCAAGTGATCTGTTTTTAAAATCAAACCATGTAAGTCCTTTTCCACATTGCTAGTGTTCCCCTTGCATTATCAGTGCTTAACAGCTCATACTGTTGGCATTTAGAAATTGACTCCTATTGCAATGGATGCTGAATGCATAAATAACAGCACTCCTGCTGCTCACATGGTTTTCCATTTGAAGAATGTAAAGTGAAGTACTTCAGACTGTTGTGCAAATACATTTGCTTATCTTGCCTACCCTACCCTGCATTTCCATATCCACAAGGATGTTTGAAGAGTTCCCTGTGTTGTTCCTTCACTTCTTCCCTTTTTGAAGTTATCCTTTCAGTGGGACTGAAGAAGATCCTGATGCTGAATCTGCCAGGTTAGTCATGCTCATCACTTTGACTTACAGCATTACACTCTGTTGTAGTAAAAACCCCACCCTTTGTTTCTAAACCAAGCTTTGTGTATATTTGTGGCTCTTTAATTGGAAGAGCAAACCTTGTGTGTTTGCTAGGCCTGTTCAGCACAGGTACACACACTTCATCTGGTTTCTGTGGGGCCTCAGGGTACCTGCTGCTTGTTTCTTGCAAACAGGGAGCAGAATGAGATGCCAAAGAGGGGATTTGCTGTAGTTTTGGTTCACGTTGCCATCAGGTGACAAGCAGCTTCTCCAGCTCGCTCCTCACATCAGCTGCCTGAAGTTGGTGGTGTCTGTCCTGCAGGGAATGGTGTCAGTGTAATCAGGGCTGTGTAGCCCTGTCCTTTCAGCAGACATGGCAGAAGGGGATCCTTGGCAGAGAAGCTGATAGGCAGCTGTAGGTGGAATATCTTCATCTGCTGCTCTGCAACTCAGCAGCCTGTCTGCTGAAGACCTCAGCTGGTGATGTGGTGCTGCTGGGACAGGTCAGGAGCCAAAACCACAGGAGCTGTGTTAAATCACAATGTGCTGTAAAGCACAGAAGTGCCTAAAGAAATCTGCCTGGCTTCATGGCCAGAACACAGACAGCCCTGTTCAGGGACTACCTGCTCACTATTTGTGTTTAGGTGAGATGGTGCAGCTCACTATAACTACTCTAAAAAAAACCCTAATTATGCAAATAACTCATATTTGTGCATTATTTGCATGATTTCTGTTGCCTGTGTTGGTCTAAATAAGGCATCTGATTTTATTTGAGCTCTAACATTACCACAGAGCTAGGCAAGCCTTGGGGAGTGCTTGCAGATGCTGTGCTGTATCTTAATACTGCAAGATGATTCTTAGGGTTTTGGAGGCCTGTATCAAAACAATGCTGTATTGAGGAGACTCCAGCAGCATTCACAGCTCAGCACTGGGCACGAGCTTAACAAATGCAGAACAATGAAGCATGTGAACATCAGCATCTCGGGGCAGCTGACTGCAGATGGAGTCTCCAAGCATCTACAGAGGAAACCTGTGAAATATCATGGTTGTACCTTGGCACCTTGGCTTGTGGGATAGATTGAGGTATAATTAGCCATGAGTACAGAGTTCTGTTAATTGTGCAGTGTATGCAGAAAACTGGGAAGGTGCTACAGGATATCACAGATGTGTGAGAAGGAGGTGGTGTAGGAAAATAAGGCTGAAAGTCATCACCAGGCAGTTGCTGATGAGACTTCAGGTTATGTTTGTTTATACAAACGTATATGGGCTTTGTTTCATAGAATCATAGAACCACAGCCTGGTTTGGGTTGAAGGGACCTTAAAGCTCATCCAGTTCCAACCCCTGCCCTGGGCAGGGACACCTTCCACTAGAGCAGGTTGCTCCAAACCCCTGTGTCCAACCTGGCCTTGAACACTGCCAGGGATGGAGCAGCCACAGCTTCTCTGGGCACCCTGTGCCAGCGCCTCAGCACCCTCACAGGGAAGAGCTTCTGCCTCAGAGCTCATCTCAATCTCTCCTCTGGCAGGTTAAAGCCAGAGGCATTCCCCCTTGTCCTATCCCTACGTCTTTGTCAAAAGTCCCTCTCCAGGTTTCTTGTTTCCTGAAGTTACTGGAGAAGTTAGGAGGAAGTAGCAGGGTATCAGTCATGGTCTTTGTTTTCCTGCATGTTTCTTGATCTTTCTGTTGTGTTGTGGGATTTTATAGTTCCTTCACCATCCCTTGATGGAAGAGCTGTTGTCAGAGGTCTCAGCTCATCCTTGCCTGGACACTCTTCAGACAAACCTGCCACCGCAGAATTCATGTGCCACTGAACCGGGGCGGTGAAGTGGGACTGGATCTTCTGCATGATGCAGATCTGTCCAGCCACTCGTCATGAGTCTGGCTTCTGCCTTTTGTGCTGCAGTTTTGTCCACTGATGCATTGGTAGGTGGCGTGGCCCTTACACAGTGGTGTATAATGTGATGAACAGAGCTGAATTCCCCAAATTGCAGGGATAATCACGGTGTGCAGCCCAAAACAATTGCTCCCCACCCACTGACCGATACCCAGCCTGACCCAAGCAGCGATTTGGGCCTTCTGGGTGACTCCCCTCAGTTTCTATACTGGGCATGATGTGCTAGGGTATGGAATAGCCCTTTGGCTACTTTGGGTCAGGTGTCCTGGCTCTGCTTCCTCTGGGCTTCCCATGCCCCTTTTCACTGGCAGAGCATGAGACTGAAAAGTCCTTGCTCAGGGTGAGTATTACTGAGCAGCAACTAAAGCATTGGTGTGTTGTCAGTGTTCTCAGACTAAAGCCCAAACACAGCAGTGCACCAGCTGCTAAGAAGGAGAAAAATGACTGTCACAGCTGAACCCAGGACACACGTACCTGACTTTTGAGCTTTCTTTTTAGTATTCTTCTAGAGATCATGTGCTTTTATTTGACAGATTAAGAAGTTAGAGGTTATGGGTACATGGCAGTCTTTTTATTGCTGTCCCAAGCCTGTTCTACTCTTTCCTGGTCAGATACAGGATCACTGGATAATTTGCCCTCAGGAGGTCATTCAGGGCAACTTCCTGCTCAGAGCACAGCAATATCATTTACTGCACCAGGATTTTACAGTGTTCACGTGGAAAGTGTGAGTGAGTTTTACTGCTTGACACAGAGAAATCATGAGTGAGCTTCTTCCCTCCACCTGTGCTCGATAGCAACTTTCTCTTGTGTGGATGGGAATAAAACCACACAGCATTACATGGTGCATCTCTGGAAGCTTTCCAAAGAACTGCCTTTTGTCTCATCTGCTACAAGGCTGCTTGTGCCTCCTGCTCTGCCTGTAGACATGTAAAAAGAGGACGCAGAGCTTCTTCCCTGCTGGAGGAGAGGCAGCTCGGTCTGTCTGATGCAAATAGCAATGAGAGTTCAGTGACTCCCATGTTTAGTGGCTTGGCATTTTTTCAGTGCAAGGTTTAACTTCACGTTTAAGGAGAGGGATTTGAATATTATTCCCATTTCTAACTAGCTCCATTTCACAGCTTTAGCTGTTACTCAGCACTCATTACAGCTAGCTTAACATCCAGCTTCCCTTTCCTTTCCCCCACCTTACCTAGTGGGTTTGTGAAGCTGTGTAGATGACTTGAGGGTCTGCTGGTGCTGGAGCTGAATCAGCCTTGTCAAATTACAGTGTGCTCAGATGGTGGTTTGCTGAGGAGATGTGGCACCAGTCACTCAGAGTTTACTGTTTTCTTTCAAAGAAAACAACTCATGACATCATTACAAAGGCCTCTTTTAACCTTCTTTCCAAAGCTGACTGCAAATTGCAGCTGAATGAAGTATTTCTCCCCCTGCCCTTTCTGCTCCCTCCACACAGGAAAGGAGTGGTGCAGAACGCGCTGAATGGCATTTCCTATTTTGTTCGACCGGCAGCATCTGAAAGCTGGATCCACGCAGCACAACTGCAAGGAAAACCTTCACCTGTGCGTTAGATGAACTTCAATTCCCGTTTTTCTGTCCCTCAGGATGGATCAAAGCATTGTAGACATGCATATTCTGAGCCGTGGTAGACTTGGATTGTGTTCCCAGCGCAGGGAGGTAACAGTGACTGGACAGTTTTCTGCTCTGTTTTTCCAAGTGCAGAATATTTTAGCTCTAGTTCTGCCAACACAAATCCTGTTTATCCGAGCTCTCTTGTGCTGAGGATGATTCGCTATAATATAGTTTATAAGCAACTTACTAAAAGACTCCAAAGTCATTCTTTTCTGCTTGATGGATGAGTTTATTGCAAAGCTTACCTAAAATAAAGTCTTTAAGTTGTCCTGAAATCTTAGTAGAGAGACCTGGTATTGCATATAAAAGGCACAATTGTCTGACACACACAGGGTGTGCTTAAAGCAAAGTCATCTCACTTCCCAAAGCAGGAGAAGAATAGTTGTTCCGTTGTGTCAGCACAGCTGGCTGTGCAGTCTTGCATTTAAACCCAGGTAAATCCTATGTCACTGCCAGAAGTCCACTTAAATTCCCTTCCTTAGTGAACACATCCTGAAGGCCCATTCTTGACTATCCATGAACATGAGTTTTAATTACATGTCTTTGTGCCTGTTTACAATGAGAACAGAGTCAAAGCCTGCAGAAATAAGGTTTAAATGTATATATTTGGTGGTAAAAAATAACTTAAGATCTACAAACCCCTTTGGGGGAATAACCCAACCCAGGGTGTTTGCAGCAGGAAAAGGAATTGGCCCTCTTCGCATGCCAGAGGTGTGCAGCCGCTGGATCCTTCTGCCTGTACATGAAGGAGGGAGGAAGAAAAGCAGCATGCTCATAGGAAATGCTTCAGTTTGTGCTTTGGAGTTACTGAGTAAGTTGGAATCAGGCAATAGTTTGAAACCATTGTTTTTACTGTTAACCTTTAGAGGTACTGGGTTTGCTGTTGGCTGTCAGCACAGGCTGGTGCCTCTGGAGCACTCCTGTATCTGTCCTGAATTACTGGAATTATGCTTTCCTTGTTAACAGTTCCTTTCCTGCAAGCCACTGCTGTGCAGTGAAACCAAAGGCTGTCTTCAGCTCATGGCTGTGTTGTGACTTGTGCAGACATTCTGTTTCTGGAGCATCTGTGTAGCATCGGGAGGGGTGAGAGGAAGGAGCTTTACTGAGCACCTGCTGCTGTTGGAAAGCTCTCACGTGTCTGTGTGTATGTAAAGCAGAACGGGATGTCAGTCTAGGAGCAGTGGTGAAAGAAGGAGTTTCAGCTGAGAGAGGGTCTTTTCCCAGGAGAAAATGATCCACGATGCCAATAGCTGCACTTCAGCTCTCTTCAAGTAACAGCAAATGAGACAACTGGTGACCTGACATGATTTTTCCAGCAGTTGCTCTGCTCTTCAGACATGAGACAGATGGAGACAGAGATGGCAAATGTGTTCCTGAGGCGCCGCGGCACGCCCCAGCCTGGGATCATGCCGCAGACGGATTCCCTGGAAGCTGGCACGGGTTATCTCGGAGTGAGCTCAGCTCTGGACACAGCAATAGGCCTGCAGAGCTGCTGTGAGCCCCACAAGTTTCTGTTTATCTTTTGGTATGGAGGAGTTAGCATGTAAATGATTAATCAGAAATTCCCTGTCTGAATTGAAGCAGTTGAGTGGGGATCGCGTGGTGGGTGCCTCTGTGTAAGGGACTGCGTGTTGCAGATGTTGGTTTGCAGTATGGGTTCCAAGTGGTGCCAACTAACTCGTTATTTGTACTGAGTGCATTTGAAGTTGCATCATTTCCTCGGTAAAAGCAGTTTTATTTTTGACTGGAGTGTTTAGCAGGTGGGAGAAATCCTAAATGTGAGTGCTCTCTGGTGGTGAAATCTCTGCTTCACTTTGCTGATTCTGCAGTGCTTTCCAATGGCAGCGGGATGTGAACATGGGATGTCTGGATTTTGGGATACACTCTTTTTTATCAACTCCCTTCCCTAAAAATAACAACTACAAAACAAAGTAAGAGCCTTTTTTCTTGCCTTGGCAGTCATCCTTCCTAGGCAATATTTTCTATCCCTTTAGATGATTCCTATTCTGTGACTTACTGGTTTGTAGTTTCTCATGATCAGTCGATGGTTGAACAAGGTAACAAAAACTGGTATCAAAACTTCTCATTAAAGAGCTGATGCTCCTCCTCAAAAGAACACACAAGGATTAAATACTGTGACTTTCCTTTTGGCTGCTGAGCTAGTGGAAGATTCAGAAGATGCTGATACAGAAGTTCCTCAAAGAGAATCATCGCAGGGAAGTCTCTTCAGAGTCACAGCACAAGATGACGTGATGTTTGTGATAGGTGCAAAACAAGGTTTGGCCATGGGGGTGTGGACCCTCAGGAGAAGGTACAGGGGTTCCTTTTATCAGGTGTATTGTGTATTGCTTTTAATGACAGAAATCCAGTTCTACGTGAAGGATTACACTGTTCTTTATGTTGATGAGCTTTCCCTGGAGGGAGTGTGATGCCCAATGGATGAGCCTTTCCCAAAAGAGCTGAGTGGCTTTGTCATCTTGCTTCATGACCCTATCATGCAGAAGAACAGCAAATCTAACACAGCTTGTACCTTCCAGCTTGGACTGCTGCTGTTGGTTGTTTTCTTAAGTTTTCATGAATTCTTCTTGGGCAGGGAAAGCAGGAATCTCACAGCGGAGCAATGCAGCCAGGAAAACAGCCTCTGCTGTTCTTGGCCTGCTGCTGTGCTGAGCTGCGCTGTCTGATGAAAAGAGGCTTTATCAGCAAGGAGGGGTGAGGAGCGACAGCTCTTTTTAGGATCATCTAAGCACAGCTCTGGAATCTTCACCCTGGTGCTAAGAAGTAACGAAAAATGAATAGAGAGGTAAATGTTGGTGTAGGTTGTTCATAAACCTGTATCCTTAAAGCCAAGCTTGAGGGCTGCCCATTTGTCAAGCCGGGAAATGCAGCCTTCTCCTTACCCCTCTATCTGCCTTTTGCCACAGAGATTGAAGCCACAACTTGTCAGAGTCTAGTAAAACCTTCTAAAACTTGACTTTGAGGCCAAATGTGAGTTGTGTTGTCAGAGAGCTGTCAGGGAAGCAAGCAGACAGTATGTCAAACCACTGCACACGTTGGTGTTGGAACAGTGACCCTCCAAGCTGAGCTGTGCCCTGTTCGGGGCTTTTTGGAGCATCTGGCCATGGGACAGAGGCAAATCTGGAGGTTCTGCTTATGAGGCTGTTGGGGCCACTGAACTGCCAAGGGAGGAAACTTAAACTGTGCTCTGCTGCTGGAAGTTTACATAATTCATTACTTAAGGAAGAGGTCAAAGTATAGGGTACTGTGGTGGTGACTTGGCACAACGCTTCAGTAGGGAGGTCTTTCTATTATTTTTCTTCTCAGCAGCTAACACTTCCCCTCAACCTCCCTGTGCTGACCATGAGCCTCCAGCCATGTGTCTGGCAGTTTGGTGGGGCTGAAAACCTCATCCAGAAGCTGCTGTAACTTTATTATCATCACTAATAGTGCCCTCAGTCATGGTTATGTGCTTGCTGCACAGTGACTTTTGGAAAGTAGTCTATGTTCTCCATTGGGCAAGTGGCCCTTTTCAGATGTCCTGTCTCCAAAAAGATGGACAGGATTCTGCTGGGTTTGATGTCCTTGTAACAGTTTCTATTACATATGTATGGCCCAGTGTGATTTGATCTCCTTAATAGAAACGGGGTTGTGTGTGTTTGGTTTTTCTTGAGCTCTCCTATGTCTATGTAGAGTTCCTCATGTGCTTCAGAGAGGGCAAGAGATGAGCAGCCTGGTGTCCGATGTCTGCACCACGTGTGTCTTCTGCCTGTTTGGGATCTTCCAACTACCATTCCCAGTCACTTTGTGCTTCAAAGAATTAAAATTAGGGGTGGCAGATGACGAGGACTGAGTGTGTGAGACTTCCTGGGGGCCTGAGCCGGCCTTAAGAATTGGGCTGTGATTCTGTGTTTCACACCAGGCTTCTGTGCTGGTTGCTGCCTGTTGTGGCAGTGCATTGCCCTTCGTTTTTGTTGCGATAGCTGCTGAGCTGCAGCTGGTATTGCTCATTAGAATGGCTTTATCCCTTCTAAACCAGTTTTTAGAGCTTTCAAACCACATACACGGCCACAATAGAAAAGCTCTTTGCATGTGAAGCTCTTGGCAAATGTGCATCAGGACTAACTGCAGGTAAAACTGAACGTGGAAACACAAAGACATTTTACAATTGCTGTGTCTCTTGGTGAAGGAAGCTGGAATTAGAAGCAAAATCACTTTTAGGCAGTGGAGCGCTGGCTGCTGGATTGGATTTCTGGAGTTTTATTACACCTGCTAAAAGCCAACACTGCCAAGATGCTGCAGGAAATTCTCCAGTGAACAATAGGAAATGTCAAGCCTGTCACCACATGGGGGTGGTAATAAATTCCATAAAGGAACGCTAGAATTTGTGGAGTCCCTTAAGGCTTAGGAAAGGCCCCTGTACTCGATAGAGGTGGTGTGGTGCCATCTAATGTTGTAAGATTTAAATACAGGGTGCAGACAGGTATTTAATGGTAGGAATGACACAGTTTGCCTGTTGAGCTCTAAATCTGCTGTCATCCTTTCTCCTCCTGAGAAGCAAATGCTGTACGAATCCTTCAGCTGTTAATCTGAAATCCCCTCTGTGCTCTCCTGCTAGAGAGCTCCCTGAAATGGGAATTCCTTTGGAAACAGCTTTTAACCCCTTTTGAAAAACAAATGTCAAGTTACTGTCTGTCTTGTTTGCAGAAAGAACACGATGGCCCAGGTAGGGCTTAGGAAAGGGGTAGTTTTGGGTTGTTCTCACATGTTCTTACAATGCTTTCTCTTGTGGTTTAGCAGCAGTGGCGATATCAAAGTGCTTTCTTGTGCCAGAGGGTGGAGTGGAAGCTAATGGCTAGAGCTGAAGGGCCATACTTTCCTTTTGGGCTTTTACCTTGCTTTGCTTTCTTGCAAATGTGATTAGACCTTGAAGATTCAAAGGGAGCCCTAGTTCTTGGTGCTTGTAACAGCAGAGCTCTATGTAATACACTAAGGTGCCCCCTGGGCCACGTGGGTCTGCCCATGTCCACAGTCAATGACCTATTGGGACGTTTCAGTGGGTGATGGATTCAGGAGTTCACCTGATGAAAGGGGCAGCTGCTTGGAAGCCATATTCTGGTCTCTGTGTCTGACTGATTCCCTTTTCCCTTTCTGTCTCCTCCCGGGTAGGTTTGAAAAAGGCCGGATTTACACATTCATTGGGGAGGTGGTTGTTTCCATGAATCCTTACAAAAACTTGAACATCTATGGGCGGGACACGATTGAGCAGTACAGAGGAAGGGAGCTGTACGAGAGGCCTCCTCACCTCTTCGCCATTGCTGATGCTGCTTACAAGGCGATGAAGAGGCGATCCAAGGACACCTGCATTGTGATATCAGGTGAGCTGAAAGAGCTTTGCATGAAGATGAACACTTGATCTGTGTGAAATTCTAGGCAGCAGCAGCAGAATGATTTGGCTAATGACAGCGTTTCATAAAAGAAAACTTCATGAATTTTAAAACTGCTTATTTGCATCTGAATCTGTCTGTGGAGACCTTACTGATTATTTCTTATCTAATTCAAAAGCTGGTGTCAGGCATGAGCTTAACCTGTGCATGCAGAGTGAGAACTTGCACATCCTCTGCTTGCCCTGCCCGGGTGAATGGAGGTCAGTGTGAGCAGGGTTCCTGTCTCTTTAGAGAACTGCTGATTTTTGTCCCTGAGATGACAAGCCAAGGTTTTGTTCTCTGTTTCGATGGCCAGACTGGTGACTCGTCGTGGCCCAAACAGTGGGAGCAGGGCTTGTACCATGAACGGTCACTATCTGGATCCTGGCACTTGGTTTCCTTGATGTCCCCGTGCTTCAGCAGCTCTGAAAAGCGAGCGACCCGAGCTGCTGTGCTCAACAGTAGCCTCTTGTGCTGCAGCTCCCAGCACTGCTGCTAGCCAAGCCTCTGCATGCTCGTCCTTCTCCTCTAACAATATTCCTTTTGATCCTCTTTGTCCACAGGCCTTTTACCAACCTTACATCTATCTGCTTCTAAGTCAGCAAAGCAGCAACAACCAGGCAGGTGATGGCTGTATTTAGAAAACATGCAAAGTGCACACAATAAGATTGCTTTAAAAACCCCAAGCAATACAAAACCCCCAAACACTCTGGCAGAGAATTAAGAGCTGCTGTTCGTTTGCTTTGCTATTTTCCACTTGCTGTGTCACCTTCTGTATTTCTGCCCTCAGGTGAAAGCGGGGCTGGGAAAACTGAGGCCAGTAAATATATCATGCATTACATAGCAGCCATTACCAACCCCGGGCAGAGGGCTGAGGTGGAAAGGTAAGGGCTTTGCACAGAAATAATGAGATTGTTCTGTTTGTGGGTCTCTTTCTGTGGCTGAGAGAGCTGGGCTGCTTCAGCCTGGAGAAGAGAAGGCTCCTGAAGGGGACACCTTAGAGCAGCTCCAGTGCCTAAAGGGGCTCCAGGAAACCTGGAGAGGGGCTTTGGACAAGGGATGAAGGGACAGGACAAGGGAAATGCCTTTAACCTGCCAGAGGGGAGACTGAGATGAGCTCTTGGGCAGAAGCTCTTCCCTGGGAGGGTGCTGAGGCGCTGGCACAGGGTGCACAGACTGCCCCCTCCCTGGCAGTGTTCAAGGCCAGCTTGGACACAGGGGCTTGGAGCAACGTGCTCTAGTGGAAGGTGTCCCTGCCCGGGGCAGGGGTTGGAGCTGGATGAGCTTTAAGGTCCTTTCCAACACAAACCAGTCTGGGATTCTATGACTGTGAGCCCCATGTTATTAGATGGTCTCTTTTGCTAATTAGGTGCTGATTTTTACAGCACTAAGCTGACTTCTTCAGATCCCTTTTAATCTGGGAATTTTACAATATTGATTGCTCAAATCACAAGGAAAAGTTTAGTTTGAAAACTTGAACTTTGCCATCAAAGCCCATTTCTGCTTTACTGAATTCTTCTGGAGAAATGCCTGCAAAAAAAGATTTCCAGGGTTGAATATGTAAGTCCGGACTTATCCTGTTC